TACCTTATTGTAAGTGTTATGTCTATATTGTACAATTATTTTACTTTGAAGTCGGTGTCAGCCAAGGTATGCAGTGATATTTCTACGTAAGGGTTGGAAGTCGGTTTTGTTTTTTTTGTGTTGTATACATTACTGTTACAATGCAAATTCACTTGCTCAGTAAAGGATCTGAGTCACATTGAATGGTCTGAACACGTTTACTTGGTAGAATGAGGAGGAAAGAAGGGGAATTTATATACGTTGTAAGATCATGTTAGTTAATCATTCAATGTCGTTGACGATATCGTGACGCTACGCAGTTTAGTGATCGATTTGTTTGCATTTTTATTACGTCAGTGTTGCAGTGTTACGGAATACTGGCAATGGATAAGGCCGTTGTTTTATTAGGTAAGTATTATTAATATTAGTATATTATTATATTTTCTGTGTTAATACTTACTATTGTAATACTTTGGAACTGTTTTATAAATAAAAATCAATGTTGTGGTTACTTTTTTGTTTTGATTATAAACATCTGTGAATATTTGTAAACAAGCATAATTCACAAATAACATTGTACAAACTAAAAAGTGTATTTTTTTTTACATTTAAATGTTGATACACATTTGTAAAATTTAAAGTAAAATATTTGTAGCTTTTATAGAAGTTTAACAATCATTTGTTTTTTAATATTAAATGCACAATGGACCGAGAAAAATCACGGTTCTTTTACTCGTGTCATTTATATTAATATTATTTACCAATTACTAGAAGGAAAATAATGAGTTTTAGTTGACTGATATCATATGACTAGCGATATGGTCGAGCAATTGACGGCTTTATTGTTCAAAGTAAATTTTCAACTCCCAGACAAATGCACTATTATTCAATTTGTTTGTTTCTAAGAGGTTTGATTATTTATTATAACCTATTTATTGCAGTAACATCATTAGTCTTAAATCACAATGCTGTTGGAAAAAGCTGGTACAGATATGAGCCGAGTGAACGCTCTGATCATAGAATAATCTTTGAAGATTACAGAGATACACGATATAACGACAATGATTTTGTTGAATTGGAACACCATGACGATCATAGAGTAGGGCACAAACATCCTAGGGATTGGAATCTAGATCGTATTTGGTTCCCAGACTCTAGTAATGAAAACCGGGATGTAACCACTAGGTGAGAATTTTTATTCATTTTTAACTTTAATTTTTTTTTATAACAAAGTAGCTAACAAGCATGCGACGATGAAAAGCAGTTCAATAGCTGCTTTTAAATTTCAAGTATGACGCAAGTATGCCTTGCCTACCTTCAGTTGACGGAGGAAGGGACGCACAGAAAGGGAATATTTCCTCTTCCTATGTGTCCTCAACTCCGTCAAACTTCCCACAATTTAGTCAGGTACTGACCAAAGGCCAGTAAATTTAGTTAGGATCTCAATAACATATTAGTATTTTTTATTTCTTTTGTGATTCATCTATTTCGTACTCAACATGAATTTCGATAAGTACTAATCGATTTTATAGAAATCCTATTTGTCGCTCGATTGAATGTTGCAAATTTTTTTTTACATAAACATAAAATGAAGTTTGTGGTTGCAGAGCGGTTATTCCCAAGGTTCTTGAAAGATGTTTGTTTTATGTTTATAGGTTCAACTATTAAAACCGGCCGGTTTTATTTTTATTTTATTTTATAATAAAGGTACAAAAGACTATTGCTTTACAAAATCTGTAGGCACTATTTTCGTTTTATCTTCAGCCAGAACGTTAAATATTTTAATACTCGTACATTTCATTTCAGACTCATTGGAATTGCAAATTATTAATTACGCGTCATTTTTTGCTTCATTTTCTTTACAATAATACAATTTAAAGCAAAACAGTCCTACGTTTATTTTATTTTTTGCAAAAAATATATATAATTTTTATTTTATTAATATATAAAAGTTTTTATAGACATTATACGCAGCGTAGGGGAAATCTCAATATCTTCAGCATTGTTCATTTAATTGTTCTCTTCGATTGTAGGTAGGGTTTTGTCAAGCTTGCCGTAGTAGTAGTAGTAGTAGCAGTAGGGCACCTTAAATCCCGGATCCCCACCCGTCGCCCTTGAATTCGACCACCGATGGAGTTTTAGTGGGATAAACCCTACATAACCCTGCTTCCTTCTAGAAACAGGGTATCTTTCCTAACACTTGAGTCAATCAGATTTATTTGTTTTTCAATTACACGTTAACTATTAAAATCTTGCGCTTGTATTGCCGATGATGTAAAATACCCAGAGAATTACGATAGTCGTAAATTGGCTTATTATAATTAATTTATACTCTTTGATTGTACATGTTTCGATGTGATCATACGCGAGTTCGCATGATCATTTACAAACGCTAATAATAATTTAAGTTTCTTCGATTCTAATACTCGTATTATACTTACGGTTATTTGTAAAGTTTAGATCTAAACAATACTTTCTAGTTTTGTTTTGTGTCACGTTAAAATATTTACACGTACATCAAATTTCAACTATGAAGGTTATGTTTTTAATTTTTTTTTGTTTATTTTCGGCATGAGACAATTTCTTGTTTCAGATCAACAACAGATTTTCCGCAAGTGACGACAATATCGCGGTCGCAAAGTACAGAGGAATGCATCAAGAGGTGCCCCACGACTTCTGAATACAACCCTGTCTGTGGTACAAATAAAATTACTTACTCTAACATAGGACATTTGGAATGTGCACGGTTATGCGGCCTTGGTACGTATTCTTGCGCTATATATTTTTAACGTAAATTTTCACTACCAATAATTTCAATGCAAAAGTTTAAATAGATGGAGATTTGATCTGGATTTATTTAGTACAAATGTTGAACAATCAAGTTTTTTTGAATTCCTCGTGACTGTGGCTTGTAAAAGCCGTTTGCATTTCGTCAACTTATTTTTTAATCCTTCGGTAAAATGAATAAGTAAATTATCCAATAACATTCTGAAAACTTACTCTATTTACTACATTTTTATTCCTAGATGTAAATCTGTATCGGAAACTACCATGTTTTGCAACTGAGACCACTATATTCCCGACAACTACGACTGAATCTAACTCTCAACGTCGTTGCATAGAATCTTGTCCCACAACACCCGAGTATAATCCTATTTGCGGTACCAACAATGTAACATACCAGAATAGGGGTAAATTGGAATGTGCAAAAATATGTGGCGTTGGTAAGTATGATTGGTTTTATAAAAGCATTGCACAAGATATATCAGAGGCCTAGCACGAAAAGTGTAGTGTATGAGACTTGTAGTTGTACGAGTACGCCCGATAGTGCATTCTCGTAAATTTTCGAGCTAGGTCCTCTAATGTTAAGCGACTGCTGCCCCTAGACTTCAACAAACTATCCTTTTGCATGATGTTAATGGACGAAAAAGAAGATTTCTGCTTTTTACATATATCCCATCGCTTACAGTATCCAAGTGGATGCCCAACATTTCCTCAGCAAGTACTAATTGTCGAACAACTTTGTTTCAGATGTGGAATTAAAGCGATTAAGCCCTTGTCCAAAACCAATTACAACTCCACCCCCGAACGGAAATGATTTCTTTAATTTGGGAGACCAACCATCCTGGGCGAGCAATACAGAAGCACCTCATAGTACCTTTACTATATCACAAGATGTCTTAAATAATGTGTTTAATGCACCCACACGAGATTCAGATTATGACTTCGACGTTCGATTTAAAGAATAATCATTGTTATACCACGATTAGTCTCTAGTTAAAAATAACTTATAAAATTCGCATGTTTAAAGAAAATATAATTATACCAAATTTAAATAAACAAGTTTGATTTCTAAAATCATATCTGATCCTCAAATCATTCGAAGTGTTAAAATTGCAGTGATTTTTTTTTTATCTAACCATGACATTTTTTATTTTAATTCTACTCTTGTTTCTTGAATATGCAATAAGTGTACCACATTAAAAAATAAATATATATCTATTTGATACTATTATTTTGTTATCTCGGAGATTTGCTGATTAAGATTTAAAGTAAATTATGTTTTTAATTTATTGTTATAGACTAATGTGTATAATCATTGATGCATGACGATATTTCATGAGATGTAGTTAAAAGTGAGTAACTTTTTTATTACCTGATGTTTGGTACTTCCCTGACCGCAACTGGGTAATTTTAATATTGCGGTTAGCTCTCCATTGCAGCGTTTTATTTCAAAGTTTTAAGGCTCCTTTGTAGTTATACAAGTAGCCTATGTATTCTTTCAGACTATCCTCCATATCTATGCCAAATTTCATCGAAATGCGTTTAACCGTTTAAGCTACAAATTCTAACAAACATCCATCCATCCATCTAAACTTAACATTATCAAGTATGGTTAGTTCTAGAAGAAGTCATTAGTTTATGCACATGATGTTTTATTTGACGACATTATACGAAAATTAAAAGTCATTAACTATAACGAGACTCCGTATTAAAATGAGATAATTTTATCTTAGCTCGTTACCAAGTATTGGTATTCAATACTTAACAAACTATGATTGGGTTGATTCGCGTTTTTTGGTCATAGAACACTTATACAAAATTACTGAGAAATTTCGCCAAAATTATTAAAAGGATCCATACGTTTATTTGGTGTTGGTACTTTTGATTCATTTTACAAACTAACTTCGTTAAGACTTTTTGTCTATAGTTGGCATTAGTTCGTCATTAATTCTAGCCTTGTACCATATCCGTAATGTAACAAGGCATTGCCTCAGTATCCTATTGGTCGTATGACTAATGTCATTGTTTGTATATAATATTTTATGGCAAAGGCTATCAAAAGTGAACAAAACTAGTCTTAGTTAAAGACAATTATACTCGTTTTATTTTTAAAGATAATTAAAAATTGTATGACTTATGTTAAGGCAGGAATATACATGCCACATTTTCATGCATGCTACTGACACATTT